TTTGATAATAATTACGAATGCTTTTCCACTTTTTATCTGACAATGAGTATATAGTTTGAAAAGCTTTTTTACAAATTCCGCTATTATTTAAAGTATATTTAACTGTTAAATATTGTTTTTCTTTACCAAACAAAGTATCTTTTGAACGGGCCATTATATGAAGCATTCCTAAAATAAACATGTTATACTCAGTTTTAGATAATTTTCGAATGTTATCAAAAATTTGAAATGCGAATTCCTGATTAATTTTAGTTAAACATTTTTTAGTTTTACAACAAACTAATGTACGAAGTTTTAAAAAAAAAGCCTCCTTTTCCTGCTAATCTAGAAGAGTTATTAATTCTTCATTAATTTCTTGCTCTTCATTACTTTCATTAATAGTATGTTGTATAAATATTCTTTGAAATTTTTCGATCTGTAATGGAGTAAGAATTTGATTATCAAATTGTTGTATTTTTTTATCGTCTTGTATATTGCTAATTTTGACATTTTCAAAAGAAGATTCTTTTGTTTCGAATATTTCCTTCAATTCTAACTCATAATCATTATTTGTTTGATAGAACATTTTGAGTTGATTAAATTTTTTCGCTAACGAATATATTTCTTAATGTGTCTCTAAAAAAATTGAAGAGACTAGTATATGTGTCAAATCTTTTTTTTTTTTTTTTTTTGATAAATCAAACACGAACTGAAACAAATATATAGCTTATAATTATACAATTGATTACACAATTATTAGACGAAGAAATCATTATTGCATTGTTACTTTGCTTACGCAAAGCATGCATAAAATGCTCAATTATGCATCAAAAGTATTGAAACTTAGAATTTTTCTTTGTTTTCAACAATACGCTTCAAAAATATGTATATTAGGTTTAGACACTAACCTATTCAGAGAATAATTTAAAAGATTGTAAATCAATACATAAAAGCAATTATTATCTCTATTGTTAATTAGAGTTCTGGACTTATGCAATTTCAGAGATTTTTTCATTGTTTAAACAATGAAAAAATCTCTAAAATCGCATAAATCTAGACATCCTAATTGTTAATATTTCAGATAAAAACTTACCATGTGTTAGGAATAATCTCTCAAGTTTATTTATAAAATA